ACATTATATCTTGACCTCAAACTCTCATCTCAAGTTGCATAGAAAAGGTGTTCTCTGGATAATCTGTAAAAAAGAAGGGATGGAGCAAATTCTTGGTCGATAGGGGAGCATGACAGAAGCAGCAGGATGACTTGGTGAGTGGTTCATGGTGGGTTTAATTAGGTTACTTGGAGGGATACATGTGTCCTCAGCCCTAAATGGCAAGAGTTCTCTGGAGGAGGGTTGTAATAAAAGAGTGTATTAAGCCTTAGGACTGGTTACCAGATGTCATTACGCTAAACAAAAACTTAACATAGTCCCATTTTATCTTTGGCCTTCAGCCTTTGACACTGAAGCTGTAAAAAGTCTTGTCTATCCCATCTCTTTGGTATTTCTTAAATCTGCTTTTTCCATTAAATTTTTTCTTTCACCATCCTCCCTTTGCCTTGACTATTAAAATAACCCCCTCTCCCTCTCGCCCACTGTTGTTGGAATTATTTTTCAAACATACAGGCAGAAACATGCTACTCCTCACTTCTTAGAAGATAATTACATATAAAAAGCATTTAAAACTATAAAATAAAACCTGAATGCACCACCCCATCCTGACGTTCACATGTATTCCTCCATGTAACCTAATTAAACCCACCATGAACCACTCACCAAGTCATCCTGCTGCTTCTGTCATGCTCCCCTATCGACCAAGAATTTGCTCCATCCCTTCTTTTTTAGATTATACTTGTCCTTTAACACTCAGATTGAATACCACCTACTCTGAAATGTTCTCTGCTCCATTAACGCAATGGACATGATCGCATGTTTCTCTCTATCTTATGGCATTTTGCAAGGATGTGCATATTTCCAAAGCTTGTTCCATTTTGCCTTATCTACATTCCTTCTCTTCCCCACTAATTTTAAACTGAGGTTTGGGGTTATGAAATTTTCATATTTGTGTATCTCACTTTGCCTACTACAGTTTTTTGTGCACCTGTACTCTGGATGTTACACTTGCCATTTCCAGAGCCCTTGTCTACGGTAAAGCACTCTTCTGCTGACATCTTTATTTTTTGAAAAACAAACCTAAGCACAGTTGTCCTATGACCTTCTTCACATCACAGTTCCTGAAAGGGAGCTCTGTGCATTTTGCCTTCCATTCTTCAATTCACTTTTCTCTCCAAGAGCCTTCAGTCCAGTGTGAATTCACACAATTCCACTGTAGTTCCCCTCATCAGTGACTTTGGTTGAAACCTCCATGAACCGTTTTCAGGGATTTTCCTATTTAGTTTTAAATTTGGGATCTAAATCCTGTAATATAAAAAAGAAACTTTGATAAGAAACTATATGAATATACTTTTGAACTATATTCCTAGATGGCCCAAAGAAAAACAAATTCTTTTAAAAGATATAATGAGAGCTAAGATATATATTTCTACAGTGTGCCCTTGAAAATTTTTTTGAGACTCTATGTTGGCTGTTTATCATGGCTTTAGTATAACATCAATTACTATTCAGAACATGTAGTAAGAATAATCTTTATTGTTTCAATCGAAGTCTTATCTCAGATTCTGCAGCCCAGTGCATTCATTTTGGGTAATATATGAAATATTACAGGGTCGATTTGTTATTGTTTAAACATATATGAATCTTTGTATTCTCATTCCACAGACTGTTATATGCTTTAAAGGTGGTAAAATCACTTATGATTAAAACAGTAGAAAGTTGGGCAAGAGTTGGGCTAATTACAGTATCTGCAGAATCTCATAAAAAGATGGAAATAATTGCTGTGTGAAGATTATTTTTATTCACTCCCTCAAAAATCAGGATACCATGATCAATTTTTACAATATTAGGTGCCAAAGCCATGAGCAGCTTTATATACCTCAGTCAACAAAGTTTTCTTTTTAGTTTTTCTTTTATAATAAATGATTTTAATTTTATTAAACATTGTGTGCTTCACAGACTCTCGATGGGTTGGACTATTAGATTGAGCATTTTAACTAATAGATTTTATTGTTTATGCTAGATTTTTCATTTAAAGAATTGAGAATTAGGCAGATGTCAAGATAATTTTTTTTATTATTTCATACAAAATTATATTTGTTTCATGTGTACAACACAGTGATTCAACATTTCTATATCTTATGATGTGAATACCACACTAAACCTAGTAACCATCTATCAGCGTGCAAATTTTTCACATTATTGTTGACTATATTCCACTTCACCTTTACATCCATCCCCTCTGGCAACTGTCACTTTGTTCTCTGTTTCACTGAGTCTATCTTTGTATTGTTTGTTCATTTGTATTGTTTTGTTTTAAGATGCTACATATATGTGAAATCATACAGTGTTTATCTTTTTTTGTCTGACTTACTTCACTTAGCATTATACCGTCTACCCTCTAAGAATATTTTTAACCAAATCTCCCCACCCAACAAGCAAATAAGTAAAACTTTGCTTTATCTGATTATTTCTTAATTCTTTATTTCACCTGTAAGAACTGAGTTTATTATAGTGCAATAAATAAAATACTGTATTCTAATTATTTTATTATTTTTCTTCCTTTCCCAATTAAAAATATATTTTTGAGAGGAGGAATTGCATCTTTTTTTTTAACTTATTTTTTCTGAATTGCTAATAGAATATTTAGATAGTAGTTCTGTCTAAATATTTGATAAATTAACAAATAAAGTCAGGTTCCAGCTCTAGGAAAAAAAAGTTATTAAAGAATTAAATATCTCTTATTCCCTGACTCTTATCATCTCTATTAGCTCAGCAATTATAGAGGTATTTTTAATAACAAAAGCATACTGCCACAGTCTTATTAGATTGGAAGTTAATATTACAGTCCTTTCCCTGTTACAGCAGAACTTCTAGAGGCATGCAGTTGAGAAGACATAGGTTAAATAGTTATTGGTACATATTGATGATTCCCCATCAAACCAATGTGGTCACTGTTCTTTTTTAAATGTAGATCTCTATTTTGTATGATGAAGGAACATCTAACATATGCAGATTACACCTAATGAGCACTTACTCATTAGATGTGATATGTGTTTTGCTTACATTATTCTAATTTAACCCTCCCACCAAATTGATGACATAGATATTACTATCCAAATTTTGCAGGATAAAATATTGAGATTTGGAATAAAGCATCTTGGCCAATTGCATAGTTAATAAAGAATAGAGATATAATTTGTTCTTAGATTGACTTAAAAATCCAAACTCTCTCCACTGCACCACACAGCCAAATATTAAAGTAATTGGATGTCAGGTTCCATCGTACTTGTCTTTGAAGCCATCATTGATCTTATTAGACAGTTATTACTATATCACTAGACATTATATTTTTCAAAATAAACATGATTGTAAATATAAGAAACTCAAGTAAACACTTGTTCTTTAGTGTAAATATTTCTAAAGATCCTTTTATTTCTGAAAAACATTTACTTTCTGCATAGCCTGACTATACAAAATATCAATTTTATATAAGATTTATGAAAGTGCTCAAATCAGTCAAACTCTGCTATTTTTCTTTTATTTGAAAGCTATTTCCTTCAAGACATTTTGGAGCTTGCTTGTTTGTATAAATGTCATATAGCTTAAGTTATGACATAAAAATGATTCCCCCAAAAATGATTCCATTAAGCTTCCACCTCAGCTGACACACCTACACCTATAAAACACACTTGCTCACAGTTTTGTTTTTTATTAATTCACACTGATCTTGGGCTTATAATGTCTAAGCTTGTGAATAGTAGATAGAAAAAATTTACATAATTCCTGAAATCTTTGAAAACCATTCCTGTTTTTCAATTAGCAAAAACTTTCTTGATATGATTTAAGAGTGTTATGAATTTTTTAATATATTATCTACCTTATGAAATATGGAGGTCGGACTAATTGGAAAGAATGAATGGCTATATCAAATAATTATTTCAATACCAAAGCATACAAGTATCAATCAACATGTCAATCTCCCTAGTAAAGTTACATGATTTTCATGTTATCATTTGATTGAGTCCACCAATGGAAAAATATAATTTAAAATGGGTGACAAACCAAATTATTGAAGTCAATATGTAGGCTAAGTATTCTTGCACACCAAGGCTGCTATAAAATTAATAATACTTTAATATGGATGCTTTTAATTTTTACAGGGACAGTCCAAATGCAGAGCAAGTAACTTAGCTATTTCAATCAGTTTTATTAAGAACAAAAACATAAGTCATTTGAATTATCACTTGGCGTTCATAGTGACAAAATAAGACCTACATTAATTCAACCAGGCTCCATTTCTTTTTCTAGATGTTTTTGCACAAATAGAACTGTCACCGGTATTATTTAGCTTTCTCTACTAACACAAATGTGTTTCCTGAATGTAGACCCCATGTCTCTTTCAGAGATTATAAGTAAAGACTAGCAATTCCAGAAATAACAGGTGTCTGTCCTTTCTCAGTAACTCTCCCTTCTAAGTGTAGGGGAACTGATCTCAGCAGGACAAACATAAATTCTCTTATTTGGTTTCCTTTTTCTTTTAAAGATGGAAAATAAACCACTTTACAATTTCATGTCTTTCACTGGATTATAATACTTGATGTAACTAAGAATATCTTTTGAACAGATAAAAAGATTCAGAAATATTAAAAGAAAATAAGGTTCATGGTTTTCAAAAAAAAATAGTTGTGTTCAATTTTATTCGGAGTTATTTATTATACCTAAATTCCATGATTATCATTTTGAATCTGAAAGTACTATAGTTGCAATAAGTTTCATTTTAAATGAATTTATTGCTTAGTTTAGATGTTCTATTGCCCACCCAGTTATACTTTTAATACTGTGTGTTCCTGAGCAATCCTATATGGCACAAATACAAGATAGGTGATATAATCAAATTAAAGTATTTAAATACAAGCTTTATTTTTATCTCCATGTACCAGCTTTTCACTTGGTATATGTAAAGTGCAGATTTATTAAGATTAATGCATATTATTGAAAATTACATTTATTTTTTTCAGATCCAAACAATCAGTAGAAATAATGAGCCAGAACATGACTATGAAGAGGATTTTCCATCACTTTCTGCATATTTTCCAAGTAAGTGTTCCTATGTGTTATATATAATGTATATATGTAATGTTTGCATTACATATATGTAACTGGAAAAGTAAAACTGAAGAGAGAATGAAAAAGTAATTAACTGAATGACTCCTACTTTATAATATGGCACAGATATTACATAATTATCTTGTTATTTTAAATACTTCTAAGTTCAATGTTTAATAATCAAACACCTGTTTTTCCTACCCAAAGAAAACACACAAGTCAGGTTGATGTACATATTCTATTTAACAGCTATGTTTTTTCAGTTCATTTCTATTTTTAAACAAAGCCACATTGTTTTCAGACCTTAGTTTCCTCAGCTGCGATAGAATGTAATTCTGCTGTCTGGTGTCTGAAGGCTAATTCAGAGTCCTGCAGATATATGTCGCCGTGCGCAGGATGCCGGCTTCCCCGGTGTGTGACAGCTTGCTTCAGCAGCATGCCGGATACGCGTCTCCCGCCTCACATTTCCCACCTGGAAGCCCTAATTCCTGCCACTGCCAACCTACTCCACCTGCTGGCTTCCCCCTTCCAGGAAGGGAAGATTCTGTTCTTAGTCATTCAGTCCCCAAACCCTGCTCACCTGTCACCTTTTTACCACCTTCAAAATAGAGCCAGCTTTCAGCCACTTCTCCCACTTCTTTGTGATTATTCCTAGTCGACGCTGCCATCAGCTCCCCCTGGAGTATTGCAGTTGCACCCTGGCTTTCAATGGGGGGCTATTTTCTGTCCCCAAAAGAAGATATTTGTCAATGAATGGAGTTGGGTTTTTTTCCAGTCACAGTTTATATACATTCAGGGTTAGTTTGTATTTGTTTCAGGTGTGCAGCATGGTGGTTAGACAATCATGTACTTTACAAAGTGTTCCCCTGGATATTTTCAGTACCCACCTGGCACCATACATAGTTATTACAATATTATTGACTATATTCTTTATGCTTTAGGTCGCCATGACTATTTTGTAACTACCAATCTGTACTTCCCAACCCCTTCACCTCCTTCACAAGGTCCTCCAACCCCTTTCCCCTTTGGCAACCATTAGATTGTTCTCTGTGCCTCTAAGCTGGTTTCAATTTTGGTGGTTTCTTTATTTTGTTCTTTAGATTCCACATATAAGTGAAATCCAATGATAGTTGTCTTTTACTGACTTTTTGAACGGAAATGGTTTTATTGCCATGATTTGAGAAGGGAGGTTTGCAACTGGCATTTAGAGAGCAGAGACAACAGAAATGCAGCTAAATATGCTACAGAACATGCCCCACACAGCACAGGAGCATCTGGTCCAAAATGTCAATAGCAGGGCTTTTAAGAAACTCCACTCGTATCAGCTTCCACATTTGCCACCCAAATATACTGTTTCATGAAGGAACTAATAATCACTTTTCTGTTCCAAACCCTCCAATACCTGCCCATCATATTTATAATGTTTATCATCAATGACAAGGCCCTAGATCTTCATCCTGTCTCTCACCCCTTCCCTGCTGGTTCACGTCCCTGTAACATCTCACACAGCAAGCACGCTTTTGCCTCAGGGCATTTGCGCTTTTAACAGTGCACAGTTGAAGCTCAGCTAAGCATTATTGACCACTAGTTTTTCAGATGATAGGCTAACCTGCAAATCAAATGAATTTAAATACAATGCTTTAACTAACATACTTTGGCAAAATCAATAAACTTTCAACTTTATTGCAGAACACAAAACAATGCTAAATATTAAAGGAATGCATTACTACATGAGGTTTTAATGTTATCCATTTTATTATTATTTGAATGAAAATAAAAGTGATGATAAAGTGATGATTAATAATGACCATATATTCAGTATGACATCTAATCCTCAGAAAAACTGTAGTAAGGAAACATTATTTCAGTTATTTGTACAGAGCGATTTCATTCCTATAGAACAGTTTGGACCTGGGACTGTCTCATACGTGAAATTCAGGGTGACTGGGCTCAGGCCTCAGGCTCTTTCATGAGAGGGAGTGAAGCATTGCTATGAAACTTCCTAACTCCCACTGACTCGCTATCTGACTCTCCAGGGTTGGATTCCAGGTTTGGGCATATTTGACAAGAACCAAGAAGACTCTCTTGCTTAGACAGTGCAGACATAAGCCTTAAACACGGAATACCACAGCAGAAGGGTGGCTACAAGTAATTTCCTATAGTGTGAATGTAATTCTAACTTGGTGTTCAAGTTGCCCAGAGAGACATAGTGAAATTCTTTTGCTAGCCCTGAACAATAGTTTCTTTTCAGTTATTTCATCATCTACTCCATCAACATTTCCAGAGACTACTTCATTTCAGGCTCAGTGTTTGGTGTTAGAAGTAGAAAGATGGGATGTGTGCAGAGATCTGCAGGAATGAAAGGCTGGCTGCCCTGCCTAGGCTGGTAATTAGAGAATCTTGGTTTGCATCTCTAGTACTGGCAGTTGTATCTTTCTCCTTTCTCACGTAAGAGAAAAATAAAAATTAAAAAAATCCCATGTAGAAATATAGGGTACCCTCATAGGTGCGATTTTTCCACACGACTAACTGATTTTCTCATTGCTAAAAATTTTCTACAATGTAACCTTTCATTTAAAAAAGCTCTTTTTTCTTTTCTTTTTTTCCCATTTTTTTCCTTTTCATGGAATTTATTGGGGTGAAACTGGCTAACAAAATTATACAGGTTTCAGGTGCACAGTTCTACAACACATCATCTGTACACTGTATTGTATGTTGACCACCCCAAATCAAGCCTCTGTCCATCACCATTTATCCCCCCATACCCTCCTCCACCTCCCCCCCTTCCTCAGGCAACTGCCAAATTGTCGTCCTTTTTTCTATACTCTTTGGCTTCTTTAGCTGTATTTTAGTTTAACAACACTCTAAAACAATTATTTGCTTTCCTTTTGCACTGACAATAACAATTCACATATTCCCTGCAATACAGAGATTCAAAAGTTTTGTTTTAAAATTTTGTGAATCCTTAATTTAGGGCAGAATTTTTCTAAAGAAAACATAAACAACTTTTTTAAGATTTAAAGCTATTGCATTATAATATCTTTTTTTTTTTCTTCCTGAGTCATTAGAGAGCATTTATTGTGTACAGTATAAAAACAAATGTTGGAATCATGATTCTTAAATGAAGGGAATTTGGATCCTTTGATTAAATTTCAGGATAGAATACCTTTTACAGGCAAGAGAACTGAGCCTTAGAAAGATGCACCTGCTATTGGTAATTTGGATGCCTTCCAAACTAAAAACACCTTAATACTTTTCTCAAGTAATATTTTCAAGAATGAAAGTACCATCTGTTGATATATAGTAAAACGATAACTAAATAAGAATCAAAGATTTATTTTTCTTGCATTGTTCTAGAAGCAAATTAAGATTTATTTTTTTCTGTCTTTATCTTTTCCATCACTTATGTCAGTCATACTGTTTTCTAATAAAAATGCAGTAATGCAGTCATACCTATGAGTCTGCTTGAACAGTAACTCTAGAGAATCAGAATATTATACATACGAGTGTGCCCCATACCGAGGCAGCTTTACCTGTTCATTTGGCAAATATTTTAAAAGCCCGAGAATGACTGTTCACCAAAATTATGCATTTATCAGCTTTCCACGACATCATGTCACATCGTAAAAGTTTTATTAGCAGTACTACCACTTCTGCATGAAATTACAAACTAGGAGCTGGCTCCGGATGGCGCGTTTGAGTGAAATCATCCTGTCTTCCTCGTACACAGCCCCGCAGAGCCCAGCGTGTC